TAGGCACTGACAGGAGAAGAGAGGAGTGAATGGGTGGAGAGATACCTCAGTACCTGTTACTTCAGCAAGGGGGCAATAATCTGAGAACCGGAGGAGGTTTGGGTTCCTTCAGGTAGCCCCTGTATGTTTACATCCTTATGACTTACAGAATAAGTCGGTTTTTTCCCCACACAGCTGTGACTGTTTGTGGCTTTGATAGTCTGCTGGGCAAACATAGTAGTCTAGGTTAGCCAACCTGCATGTGGCTTGCGTGTCCCTACATCCATAATGTTTGTTTTTATTATCTATGGTATGGAAGGGATTTAATGAAATTTTAGTGGGATCCTCTTCATCAGGGATACCCAATAGGAAAGACTATAGCCAACTGACAAATGTCTGGGTGGAGAGATGGCCACCATGTCCCTAAGGGGGCTGTATGTGAGATAGATCATACTTTTTGTCCAGTAGGATCTGTGATCAGCCATCGCTGCTGAATGGGCTGATGAGGGTTAGGACTACTGGTGGTCAAGGGGAGAGTCCATAGCCCTATCCACACAGCGAATACGCAATTTGAGAGGGTTACCAGTCTTTTCCAATTTCCAGCCAGAGTCTGGACAAGGCGTAGGCTTGAGATGAGAGGCATGGATCCAGGAAGTGATTCAGTTTACCTTTACCACTGTAGGTGTTATAAGTAGCACCTGGTATGGTCCTTTCCAGCAGGGTTCTAGGGATGAAACCTGATGTCATCTTACATAGACAAAGTCTCCCACACCACTTGATATCGGTGTGGAGTCCCTTCGTCCCCAGGTTGGTAGGCAGTGGCCAGCTGTTTCCACAAGTATCACTGAGTTTTTTCAAGAGCTTTAAGTCTGTCAAGCAAGGGGGTGTGGAAGGGATTGTTAGGTCTTAGAGTTGGGGTTAGGTCTCTTACTGGAGGAGGGGCACCATAGAGAATTTTATAGGGGGTGAGGTTACACAAAGAAACAGAGGGAGTATTTTTTTTTTTTTTACAAAACAGTGCATAATGCAGGAGCATAGTCCAATCTTTTATGCCGGCCTCTAAGCTTAATTTTTTTAAGGTCTCTTTAATGGTTCTATTTATTTTTTCTACCTGTCCTAAGCTCTGGGGTCTATAAACACAATGTAACTTCCAATTAATCCCCAGGGTCCTGGTTAACCTCTGACTCACCTGGGCCACGAACGCCGGTCCATTATCAGACCGTATTACCTTAGGCAGGCCGTATCTTGGAAAAATATCTTTCAGGATCTTCTTGACCACCATTTGCACCTTTTTGTGTGTGTGTGTGTGTGTGTGTGTGTGTGTGTGTGTGTGTATGTGTGTGTGTGTGTGTGTGTAAGGCTGCAATCCATCCTGAAAATGTATCTAAAAGATTAGGAGATATTTAAGTTCATACCTTGCTGGCTTAATTTCAGTAAAGTCCACTTCCCCAAATTGTCCTGGTCTGGTTCCTTGAAGGCGCCTTCCTGCAGGAAGCTTGGAAGGGTAAGCATTAACCAATTGATAGACTCGACAGGCTTTTGTTACCCGTTCAGCTATTTCCTTTCGCTGGGAGCAGGTTAGTGGAAAACTCTGTTCTTCATCCTTCAGGAATGCTTGCAATTTCTTTGAACCAAGGTGAGTGAGTTGATGTACATTTTTAATGTAGTGTAGGGCTTTCTGAAATTGCAGGCTGGGCTCAGTAAAGTCGAGGAGTTCAGTGTCAGTGTCCTTAGATGTTAAGTTGTAGGAGTGCTCTGATGTAGTTAAATCTCCTGACTTACATTTCCCCCGTATGGAAAGTGTTAACATGGTTACTCCGTTTAGGGCTGCCAATTTAGCCTCTTCATTTGCCCTCTTGTTAGATGGGGGTGGTATCTGCACAACGGTTTGTTTTCTGGGCTCAGTGAGCCATCGTTTATCGCCCCTAAGGGAATAGTCCAGGAAGATTACTTCTTGCTGGCAAATTTGGGCCTTTTTAGCAGAAGCTCTATACCCGAGTTGAGCAAGCTCGGATAATAATGTTTGGGTCCCAGACTCACAGTTTTCCTTGGTATCGGCTGCCAGTAGCAGGTCATCCACATATTGAAGCAGGGTGACTTCGGGGTGCATAGTTCTGAAGTTGTTGAGATCTCTGTGGAGGGCTTCATCAAAGAGAGTGGGGGAGTTTTTGAACCCCTGTGGGAGTCTGGTCCAAGTTAGTTGATAAGTCGTTCCAGTTTCTAGGTTTACCCATTTGAAAGCAAACAGCAACTGACTATCTTTATGCAGAGGCAAGCAAAAGAAAGCATCTTTTAAGTCCAGGACAGTATACCATTTTCGCTCAGGGTTCAGGGTGCTAAGCAGATTGTACGGATTAGGTACTGTGGGGTGAATGTCCTGCACTCTGTTGTTGGTCTCTCTTAGGTCTTGAGCGGGGCGATAGTCCCTGGTTCCTGGCTTTTTTACTGGTAGCAGGGAGTGTTCCAGGCTGATTGATAGGGCCTTAGGACCCCTAAGGCCAGATATTTCTGAATATGGGTCCTTATCCCATCTTTAGCTTCTTTACTCAGAGGATATTGTTTAATATTAATTGGGGAGGCTGAGGTTTTTAACTCCACTGTTATTGGAGGTTGTTTTATGGCTAGGCCTAACCCAGCAATTTCTGCCCAGGCATCTGGGTAATCTGTTATCCATTTCTGGGATAGCTTGCCTGTTTGATCAGTCTTGGGGGGTGTGAAGAGTTGATGTTCATCCTTTACTGACATAGTTAAAGCCATGACTATAGGAGTTTTTACTGAAGGGTTTAGAAATTTCATTTGGGGGCCTTCAGGGTTAAAAGTTATTCTGGCCCGGAGTTTGGTGAGCAGATCTCTGCCCATCAGTGGGGCTGGGCATTCTGGGATCACTAGGAAGGAGTGTTGGACTTTTCCTTTTCCCAGGTCCATGGTCCTCTTAGTTGTCCAAGCCCGATATTTAGTGCCATTAGCCCCTTGAACTAGAGACCTTTTAGTTGATAGAGGGCCCAATGGGGCCTTAAGGGCTGAGTATACTGCCCCTGTATCCACTTCAAAGTTTACTGGGGTTCCCTCCACTTCAAAAGTTACCCTGAGCTTGGGGAGGGGATCCGAGCCCCAACTTTCCTAGTCATCCTCCAGAGATAGAATGGCTGGCTGGCATGGCTGTTTTTTTTTTTAGGGCACTCCTTGGCCCAGTGTTCTTTTTCTCTACAGTAGGCACATTGATCTGAGGCCAGATGTGGCTTCTGGCGTGGGCCCAGGTATCCCTTTCTGTCTCCCTGTCTCTTAACTTCCAGCCTATTTGTTGTTGTGACCAGGACCTTAGTCAATGCCTCAGTCTATCTTTTGCTTCTTTCATCCTCCCTTTGCTCCCTTTCTTTCTCCCTCCTTTGTTCCTTCTCTTCCTCAGTTTCTCTCTTATAGTATATCTTTTCGGCTTCTCTGACCAAATCTTTCAAAGTCATATCTTGTAATCCATCTAAGCGTTGTAATTTTCTTTTAATATCCAGGGCAGCTTGCCCAATAAAGGCCATCGTAACAGATGCCTTTTGATCCTCTGCCTGAGGATCAAAAGGAGTATATCTCATATATGCCTCCATAATTCTCTCCAGAAACATAGAGGGAGATTCATTAGGCCCTTGAATAATTTCTCTTACCTTGGCCAAATTAGTTGGCCATCTAGTGGCTGCTCAGAGACCCGCTATTAGAGCCCAGTGATAAGTGGACAGATGCTCCCTACCTTCAAAGGTATTGGGGTCCCAGTTGGGTCGGTTCAAGGGGAAGTTGTGTCGGTCGCCAATCTGGTCCAAGGATATTTTTTTTTCTAACTTCCAGGAGGATTCTCTTTTGTTCCTCTGTCTTGAAGAGAGTCCCTAGGAGCTGTTGGCAGTCATGCCAAGTAGGCTGGTGTGAAAACATCAATGACTCGATCAGACCTGTGAGCTGGGTTGGGTCCTTGGAAAAAGGGGGATTGTTATTTTTCCAGTTATATAGATCTGAAGAGGAGAAAGGCCAATACTGGTAGGCTTGCATTTTTCCACCATGGCCATCCTCTATCATTGGCCCATAAGGACGGAGGGGAAGTATCATGGGGGCTTAAGGGTTTTTAATCATTCACTGCCAGTGAGTTCCTTTAGCCGGGTAGCTTCCTCCAGGGGAGGAGGGGCTATGTGTGCCTCGGGGAAGTCATCTAGAGGGTGCTGGGCTGGCTTAACCTCCTTCAATGGTGGAGAAGCTGAGTCAGCAGCAGGGGAATCACTTAGAGGGTGTTGGGGGTTGGGGAACGAAGGCAGGGGATAAGGAAAGGGAGGAGAGTCCACAGAGTCAAATCTTGAGACTCAGGGAGAACAAAGGGTGGAGAAGGAGCAGAGGGTTTGAGAGACAGAATCATGGGGGAATTAGTAGAAGCGGGGGCAGGGACAAGGAAAGGCTTCACCCATGGAGGAGGAGATTTACAGAGGTCCTGCCAAGTTAAGATATGTTGATCTGGATGGCTATGTGGTCTTGGCTGAAAGACAAAGACAATATCTCTGACTTTTCAAATTAGTAGGAAGTAGAAAGATCCTTCTGGGGGCCATCCAACTCCAAAGGTGGGCCATTTTGAGGCACAGAGAGTCTGCCAGTTCCGGCATTTTACTGAAAAAGAAAGATTCTAAGCCCTTAAGTGGACTTCAGTCCAGTGATCAAGGGTCAGGGACAGAGGCATGAAATGGCTTTGTCCCATAATGAAAGTTACTTGAACAAAGACAGGGACAATACAAACATGACAAACACGGACACACACAGTAAACGTGTAACACAAGTTTAGAGGTAACGATTAAAAACAGACAGTGAATTCAACCTGAGAGAAAGAATTGCCCGCAAGACCAGATGGGTTGGCAGCAGAATATACCAGATGAGGGCACTTAGATCCTTCCCAGATGAGGGCACCTCCATCCCTCCCAGATGAGGGCACCTCTGTCCCTCCCAGAGTCCTTCAAGGCGTCCTTTGAAAGACGTGGGCCGTGGCTTCAGGACACGTCTGTCCACTACCGCCAGGGGGAGCTTACGCTCTCCGCTGACAACCACACTCTGCCAACCCAAACCGAAAAACCAGAAAGGCTCTGAGAGTTCACGCTCTCCACTGAGCCAAAAACCAAGCTCTGAGCGATCACAAAGGAAAAACAAGAAGGAGAAGAAGAAGGAGAAGAAGGAGAAGAAGAAGAAGAAGAAGAAGAAGAAGAAGAAGAAGAAGAAGAAGAAGAAGAAGAAGAGCCGCCTTACTTACCCCCTAAAGGAGTCTGTTGGGGTCTCCCTGTCCGGCGATGTGCTCTTCCCGGCCAAGGCACCAAATGTAAGGGTCCGGCGAAACGTCTGAGGAAGAGACCACAAGAGACTGTCTTATGCAACAGGAGAAGGGAGGGTTTATTTGGAGACCAGCATGCTGGGGCTCAGAGCTCACTATAGCAAAGAGAGATAGAGCCCTGAGAACAGCTTAAGCAGAGCTTATATACTTTCCTTAGAGAGGGCAGGGAGAGAAGTTATATTTTGTAGTTTGGCAGTTGGGGACAGCTCATTCTGGGAACAAGATTAGTAAACAGTTCACAGTTGGGGACAGCACATTCTGGGAACAAGATTAGCAAACAGTTATTAATATTTCAACAGTGTTTTGTTAAGCATATAGAAAAATGGAGTGACAAGTACCTATTTTATTCCTTTCAGAATGTGGAAGAGAACTAAAGATTTTAAATCAATAAACAGCACAGAATGAAATCTGCCCAGATCTCCACAAAATGAGGCTGGTTTAGAGAATGTTTAGAATAACCAACTTTCAAGGAAACAAGACTTGAATTAGGGTATGACTGGGATAAGCAGTTTATCAGAAAAGTCACATTTGGCTGATACGGTTTCTCTATGGCCTCTTGGAACACAGATGACGTTGACAGTTTAAACATTTTAGAAGTATGTTTTGGAAATGATTCTTCATATAAATATGTCATGAATGTGGTTATAGACAGGGCTGGGGCAACAGCACTCTTCATATCCTACTTTACTCTGATTTTTGAACTACATGGATTTTGAAAAACTGATGTGCATTAACCTGTAACAAAAGGACAAATTCCTTTGTGTGATAGGTAGTTTTGGAGCAGAAGCTATTTTTCATCTTTCCAAGAGTTTTCTTTCTAAATTAGAATACATACAAAGAGTCATTAATGATATTTAAGCCTAAGAACCAAAAGAGAGACCTATGGAAGAATAAAAAGTCAAGTTCGACATCTCTAATTCCACATTTATCTAAAATAATTTTGTGAAATCTTTTTGGTTTTTCTGTATATCAAAGAATTATTGTAGGTTGGGGGAGTAGGTCCGTGGTGAAGGATATGCCTAACATGTATGAAGTTATGGTTCCACTGCTCAGCACCAGTAACCATCAAAAAATTTATTTAAATTTATTATTATTCTATTAGTGATGGTTTTTCAGACTTAGGGACAACATTTTCCTGTCATAAATGATTATAAACTAGAATTTTAGGACAAATATAAATTACATGATCATTTTGAAGCATTTTCTCTGCCTCTTTATAACTGAAATGTTTATCAGAAAAAATTCTATATTAATTGAAATATCTACCTACTGGCATTCATATCCTTTACTTGTTATGGGTAATATTTAGAGGAATATGAACAAGCACAGTTATAAAATTACATTACACTTCTTGTTTTGTTCTCTATTTTGTAAAAAATTTACTTTTTCCTTCCTTCCTTCCTTCCTTCCTTCCTTCCTTTCTTCCTTCCTTTCTTCCTTCCTTCCTTCCTTCCTTCCTTCTTTCCTTCCTTCCTTCCTTCCTTATCTCCCTCCCTTCCATCTGAAGCCTGTCCATGGTCCTTAAAAACTGCTACTAGTAATGCCTTCTCCACAGTTGGAAGGTTCCTTGATTAGTGTGTTTCTGCATAGAGAGAGCATTCTACTTATGATCTCTCTTCATTCCTTCCTTTGCAGTGATGGAAACTTCCTTAGGGATAAAGGCTTAGGATTGAAACCTCCCAGTCAGACATTTTGTCTGCCAAGACCTCCAGAATTCCCCAACAGCTACAGTAACAGAAAAAGCCAAATACTCCAGATGAACTCACAAACTGAACATGGGGAAATTTCAGTAACAACTCCAGTCCAGAGTTCTACTACTTTCTGGGCATTCTCTCCAACTCAAAGCCAGAAACAAATAGAGAGTAAGAAAATAATGAGATTAAAACCATGCTTTCAAAGCCTCTGGATGCCTACCAGTTTACCACGAAAAATGAAGGTCCTCCACTATTTCCTTTAAAATTCCTGAAATACATCAGCTTCTGCCCTCCATTGGTCCTCAGAGAAGAAGGACAAATACTCTGAAAGAAGCCATACTCTGAAATTATCCATCTGGGAAAGAACAGCCTGAGTATTGAGGACC